TTTCTCTTCTACCGCAATAGCATTTGTAAGGGCTGCACTACACTCTAGCGCTACAGCGCCGTAGCGGTCAAATCGCGGGATTGCAGGCCCTTACATTAGGTCAAGTGAGATCAAACGACTACTCGACAACAAAGATATTTGTCGACAAATTTTTATTGTCGACATTGTCGACAACGTCGACTAATCGTTGCAGCCCTACATTAGAATAGCATATACTGATCATGTTCTAACATTTCATCATGTTGAGATATATAACATTGATTAGTTTTATGTACATTTGCTCACCCATCTTATAAAGTACATGCAAGAGCGGCATCTCTGTCAAGTCGAAGTTAGTTGCGGACGTGGAGCTCTTGGCATCTCGAAAACGCTTGCTTATATTGATCTTCGTTTTAGTTCTCCTTTTGTCCCAAAGTCTGCTTGCCATGGTCCATAATGTTTGAACGAAACCACAACAGCGTGAGCGTGCCGCTAGACGTAACGCAGTTGTCCACATCTGTCGCCATAGTTACTATGGCAGTACGAGTGGAAACCAGGGATAACGCGGATATTACGTCATTGTCAGGCGACAATGACCAGGGACGAGCCATTATTTAAAATGGGAATTTCTCTGAAATTAAAAATCTTTGGGAACATTTGGGATATTGCAAGTACACTACTGCAGGAAATATGTCAGACTGTGCAAGTGATTTTTGGATATTTTATTACAAAAATCTTACATATTGTACCTTTCACAACAACGTATTTTAAGTATAAATAAAATCAGATGAGAAAGTATCATGAATTGACAACTCTTTATTTATTGGCAAGCAACATGTGCAACAGGGCTCCAGACTAACTTTTTCACTGGTTGCACTGGTGCTACCAACTTTCTCAGTTGGTTGCACCAGCATATGATTTGGTCACACCTTTTTTTCTTTTCTTTTTTGCTACATGCCATGGGATTAATCAATGCATGCTGATGAATAGTGGTTTTATTGGACCAAGGCTAGCAAAGGCTTTCTGGGTTGCAGCAGAAATACCTGTCATATATTAATTATCATTGCCAAATTTCAGGATTTTCATGGATTTTGGACAGTAATTTTAATCTGTAATTTTAAGCATTTTACATTTGAGTTATTTACAATCTATCTATTTACATTTGAATCAAATTCTATCTATCTATCTGTCTATTATCATCTTTCTATCTTTTAAAAATCATTAAACATTCAAATGTATGCATTACATTTTAAAAGATTAGAGTATTATAATAAACTGATACAGATTTTTCGTTATCAAAGTTTATAGTTGTAACAAAAAGCAGAAATCTCACACTCCTTACCTTCTGCATTTTATAATAATTTCCTTTTCCTCTGTCGAGCGATCATGAGAGTAATCGCTCGACAGAGGAAAATATAACCGCTAAAAAGACGTAGGAGGAAGGGGCTCTGTGTTTCGTGAGACCATTTTTATCATTTTTATATGCCTTAATTCGTGAATTCGTAATTGGCGCGTTTCACCATCAGTGTGCGATGCGCGTGACGTCTACGTTCGTCAATAAATAAACTGCACGTGTCTTGCGGAAGAACACTGTAGCCGGAGCTACTTCTCTCCGTTAATGTCTATGGCGAGTCACGCAGGCACTGGGCTACTCCACAGCCGAGACGACCCCGGGATAAAATAGTCCGAATATAAACACTTATTATAGGCGTACCGTAGGGATTCAGAATAAGTCAAAAACACGGTTTGGAAAATGGATTCATGATATAGCCTACTCGTTCATTTTGAACATAAGTTACGGACTGCAGCAGCTGATACAACGCAACGGCGTTCTGTTGCTCAAGCGTCCACTCGCACAAATGCAACCACATAACATTTTAACTCGCACATTCTCAAAAAATGGTCGCATGTGCGACCAATTTGGTCGCAGTCTGGAACCCTGAATATCATGTAGCCCTGCTTTGTTGGGTTGTTGGCATTAGCCTGATTATGTTGATATTGGGAAGCCCATAATAGTGTTTTCCCCCCACAATTCGAGCAGTAGAAACTTTATATGCTGCTTTATTTTTCCACAGAATTATAAATGATACATTTATGATATTGTCCGACTCCATTGTGTGATTGTCGACTGTAATATAGAAATAAAAATCACTGTCTTTATCCATCAAACTATGTATATTGGTGGTGCTCTGGTAGTATCCATGTTGGGTTGTGCTTTTAGAAGAGAACTGAAGGTGAGGTGAGGGACTTACCTTTTGTATCCATGTCATTTTGATCAGCAAGATTAGAGGACTTAGGCAAATTGTCTTGATGCAGGCCCATTTAAGAGGTCAGCCAATCAGGAGGAAGCAAGTGTATAGGAAAGGATAAGACGTTAACCAAGAGAAACATTTTCTGCCTGTCAAACACAAGAAGCCTTGTGCAAGCCACATAAGGTAAGAAATTCAGAGTATAGCCTAACCTGAAACTTTAAGAAAGTGTAAAGGTCTATACCACATTGGCAGAGTAAGGTGTCTTAGGAATTTCTCAGCACATAGCAGGAAGTAAAATTGCTTGTTGTCTTCAACATACTTAAATATTTTGGTTCTTTAAGCTTGTACTGTATCCTTAGACTTGTTGAATTTAAACTGTTTCCTTGTCTGTTGTCTTTTTAAGCTATGTTTGCTATGCATGTAACTTTCTAAACCTTTTGTTCACCCAGATAAACGCCTACATGAGGTGCTTAGTTCTTTCGTTGGGTGACAAACTCAAGAAATGTTATCTTCCAATGACATATCCGCCTTGTTCTTTCACACAGCTAACTTTCACATTTCAAACATGGAACCATTGATTTCCCAATTAGGACCTGGCATAATGCACCAGAGGGCAATGGCAATTACAGGAAATGGATCCAACCAAATTTATAGTGCTAGATTGCCTGACCACAGACATCTGGGAGTAACAAGCATATGTGTGGCTTCTCTGTTATGTAGTGCTAATGTCACTCAAACGTATTTATCATTGCTTGATGGTACTCAGCTGACCCATTCAGCTTGAATAGCGGGTGTTTGTCATTATTTCTTCATCCTTTCTCCTCTTAGCCCTTCCTTGGTCTTGATGTTCATCTGGACTGTCTATACTCAAGCTTGAACCTGCATTCATCTTGCTCAATCCGGACAACTAAGACCAGGCTAACGGGAAAGATGACAGCTTCTTAAGAATCAAGATATTGTGCAGCTGCAAATTGTTCCAAATTTTTGAAGTCATTTTTGAAGTAGGTCATATAATGTTGGCCTAGAATAATCAATTCAACATTTTGTAGAACATGGAAACATTGCTGGGATGTGCAAAACAGCATTTTTTTTTATTTTTTTTTATTGGCTGAACAATGGACTGTTTTGAGTTGTTCATTTGTCTGCTAAAGACCCGGAAGTCAATGCATTTAAAAAAGAGAAAGTGTTGTAGTTCTTGATGGCCAAATCATGAATCCTGTCAATTTTGTATGCACCATGAATAGACCATACCAACTTGGCCTCGGTTGCTCATCCAAATATTCCTCAATATATTTGAGGAGTAACCGTATATTGCCGTGTGCATGACCGTGAACGTGCCACACTTATACTTGCATTAACTTGAAACGTTTGTTGTCCGTCATTGGATCTCTTGCAGCAAGCAGATCCTTTCCATGCTCTTCACATACCTCTAAAATTAATCCACTCATTAGCCGCCTTTCTCCAGCGTTAGATGCGTACACTCCAATGGCCCATTAAAACAGCTGCCTTCATCAGCCGTTTGTCTGAGCGCATGAAGGATTTGGGTCAGCAGGATAGGTGCTGCTCTTCCGATCAGTGTCCCCGGTGTGTCTTAACTGGATTTGCCTGAAGGAGCTGAATCAAGCGTGTCCCAGGATTATGTCAATGACACTGTGGAGAGAGAGGTGTGAAAACACGGCTGTGGGCTTGAATGCTAATAGGATGAGAGCTGGCCTAGAAGGGCTCGCTGTTGTTAGTTGAGTGCGTTTGCTCTAAATCAAGATTAAAACGGACAGGCTATAAGGGCTTCAGAGTGCGTCGGGTTATTATTATTATTATTATTATTAAGGAATGGAATCAGTGTTTCAGCCTGGATACCAGCACTTTGTATAGACGAACAATAGTTGCTGGCTTTTTTGTTCAGTAAGGACATAAACAGCTAGCATTAAAGGTAAATATACTGCATAGTTAATTGCTATTAGTCTATCGGATGAAATTAAAATGACCCTATTTACTTTCCTGGTGTCCATAATGTTTATTCTCCATAATCGTACATTAAAATGTTATAAATTGCTCCGCCTTTGAAACGACTTTCCTTTTCAGCTGTTGTCATCAAGCCCTCGTTTTTTTCAGCCCTCCCTTCAACCACATGACCCCATTCTTGGATGTAGCACCCAGTTTTCATCATCAAATCAATTCCCAATGGATAAAATCCTGTCCTACATTCTCATTGAATATCCGGTTTTACTCATAATTTGTCACATTATGGATGTATTATTTTTTTCATGCTAGAGTTTAGGGTAAGGTATTTTTTTCCTTGCTGATTATTGACATAATAAAAGGACAGAATCACAGCTCATTTCTTTCCATTGTTCTCTTTGTACTTCTGCATTTTTCATTAAGGAGCAACAACTCATTTCACCACAAGAGGAAATGGTTCTTTGGGTGTTTTCAGTAGCTAATGTGGTGAGGTGGAATCTTGATTTACACCCTTGTGTATTGATAAACAATCTTCTAGCCAATCCATTAACCAATGTTACATGACATGGTTAATGCAGTGATTATTCCTCTTATAGATGAAGCTAGCATGTGATATCAGGGTGTTTCGATATCGGATGCTAATCCCCAGAGACGGTTACGTAGTGGGAAGTAACATGTTTGAAAACCAGAAATATGGACAATTAAGTTCAGACTTTTGTTAATTGATTGTCTCAAAATGTCTATTGAAGGGATAACATTGGAATTGGAGCCTAAATGTTTTTTTTTTCCTTCTTTTTTTGTCTGCTGCAGATCAGAACGTGTCCCGGCAGTAGGAGTGAGGCAGAGCTTTAGAAGAGGAAAATGAGTGAACTGGACCAGTTACGCCAGGAGGCTGAGCAGCTGAAGAACCAGATTAGAGTGAGAACCTTTCTCTCTTATATATACATGCGTTCATTAATCCCTGAACCATACCTGTATAATGTAAAGTTTAATGAATGGCTATTAAACATGATATAAACTAAATGTTCTAAATGTCCAATCATCTTGAAACGGTCAAATATCTACTAATAGATTGGCCCGGTCAATATCAATCCTCTTACTGATATCTGCTGATTATTTTGCCTGAATGATTTTAACAGAATCATTTTTTTGTTAAATTGAGCATCGACTAGAATGCAGGTTGAAAGGGGTCAGTAATTTTGGACCACCACGACACTAAAGAAAAGTAATGCACATATTCATAATCAGAGAATTTGACACATTGATCGCATTTATATTAAAACTAGACATATTTAAATTCAGATGTTTTTTTTTTTTCACCCGATTACCTGGCAGTCTCTTGTTACGCAGTAATATTTGCATAACCAAAAGACATTTAAATACAGATGGCGGTTGTTTACATAGTTTACACAATGAAGGAAGAGCGTTTACTGTAACTGTACTGTTCTCATTCCTCTCAGCGCTCCAGAAAGAATTTATACCCGATACTTCCTCCATCAAGGCGCTTTACATATTATCTAAGCCAGAGATGTTTACCGAACCTCAGCTATTGTGCTCTTCAGTTTTAGACTGAAATTGACAAATGTGTCTCTCAAATCTATAACCTTTTAGCCGTAATCAATCAATCAATGATTAAATAAACCTTAACGGGTCAATAATGCAAGCAATTAGGATACTCCGTTTGTTCAATGGAACAAAGCTTATCTATGTAATTTTATATCACTGTTACAACTCTCATGTTACTGTATGGTTATTATGTACAAAACATTAACCCTAAATTTTTTGTTTATTCCATTATCATGAAATAATGCCTCATTCCGCAGCGTCTAAACTGGTTTTCTTATTTTCTTTGTTGTAGGATGCAAGGAAAGCTTGTGCAGATGCCACACTATCACAGGTAAGAGCTTCCACATGTAAAGAAACGGTTTTATTTGAATTAAGTGACCCTAATTTAAATAAATGGATTAATCCCCATACTGCTGCCATTTGTATGTGGATATTTTTTTTAAAATGGCACATATGTTTTCAGATCACAGCCAACATCGACCCTGTTGGCCGAATCCAGATGCGCACAAGAAGAACACTGCGGGGGCATTTGGCTAAAATCTATGCCATGCACTGGGGCACCGATTCCAGGTACAGCATATTTCAGAACAACCCCGTCACGTTATTTGCATGACAGCCTGACCTTTTTCACAAGCTATTTGAAAACATCCTTATACATCAGAGTGAGACACACAGAGGGGTTTCCCTTTCGCAGTGAGGGTGGATGGGTTCATGGCTCGTGTGGTGGCCACTGCACGCTATCCCTACTGCATTGAATCATGTTCTTTTATTGTGTAGGTGGTGACTCATGGTTGAAAGTAGGTGTTATGACTAAGCATGTTGTTACTATTATAGCTACAGCCAAGAAAAATCCATAATGATACAATTTTTTTGTGCTGGGAATAGTTTGAGATTGTTCTGGGAGACAATTCTCCTGATTGTAGTTGTGCAAGCTGTGATTTTTACTTTCACGTTCTCTATAGGGTTTAATGTTCTCAGGATGTAAACCCCACTCACTGCCATCTTGTGTTTTCTGTGCAGGCTGCTTGTCAGTGCCTCCCAGGATGGAAAACTCATTATTTGGGACAGTTATACTACAAATAAGGTATGATATTTCTCAGTGTTGCTCCACTTTTCTAGAGATGGATATTGGCCATATTTGCCATTTTATTTTTTACTTAAAATATTTATTTATTTATTTATATGTGCGCGTGTTTGAGAGAGAGAGAGAGACCCGTGCTGGCAAATGAGTCACAATGAGCACATTTTCAAAAATGAGTTGTTAACATGCTCCATTTAAAACCCTTCAAAATGATGTATGATTTGTTGGAATCAGACACAAAAAATAAATGAGCTACACCTGTTTGAAGTCAATAGATTCAGCAAAGTCAATTTTGACTTTTGCTTTGAGTTACACAGCTTTCGCATAGTCAAGCATTTTAGTTTTGTAACAAATCTAGTCCTTAAATAGTGCAGATCTTGCTCTAACAGGAACTAATCTAAACACTGATGATCAGCTGTTTGAAATGGTTTCTGCTACAGATTTCTACTACTTCCTGTCCTCTTCCATGTCACTTCCTGAGCATTCATGTGTTGTTTTTCAGGTCCACGCCATTCCTCTGCGCTCCTCCTGGGTGATGACCTGTGCCTACGCTCCTTCAGGGAATTACGTTGCTTGTGGAGGCCTAGACAACATCTGCTCCATCTACAGCCTCAAGACTCGCGAGGGGAACGTACGCGTCAGCCGCGAGCTGGCCGGACACACAGGTAGAGGACGTCCTCCCGAAACACTCACACACACTCCATTCTTGGCTCTTGTGAACGTACACAAGGTTTGATGTTTGGCACAGCTGTAATTATGTAGTGAATCTGCATTGGTCTTTTTGCACCCTTTTAAATAGATCTCATTAATAAAATCTATGAGATGAGATCTATGATCGACCTTAATAAAAGAGCATCAGAGATTTCATAATGCACTCATATTCGATTCTGTCCAGGTCATATTTCACATTTTATTTAAATTAAACCGTTTTCTTTGTCTTCATGATATTTTTCATGACAATTCAGCACGTTCTCTTCATATTTCAGTGTAATAAAGCAATGCAAATCATCCTCCAAACAATGACATTTTGTTCATTCACAGATATTCTTTGGTTTTTAAGTGAAATGTTACTTACTACTCAATTTTGGGGTGAAATATTTGTTTGTAAGAGATGTGCATTAAACTTCCTCCAATCTACAGGATACCTCTCTTGCTGCCGCTTCGTTGATGACAACCAGATTGTTACAAGTTCTGGCGACACCACCTGGTGAGTGTGAGGAACTGTATCCCAGCAGCCCCATATCAGGAATCTTGCTTTTAGGTTTAGCAGGGATGTTTGTCATTTTTTTAAACAATTAAGTCAGGAGTCAGATATACATTTTAATCAAAATATTGGAAATGATTCATTTACATTACCTAAGCTTTGTATTTATCATAATGTGCATGTTCTTTTACTGCATGATTTTTCTCCGATAAAAAAAAAAAGTCCTTTCTATAAAATCAACAGGAAGTAGGAAATAACAACATAATGGGGAGACAAGTAAACAAGTACTTTTTATTTTTAACCCAAGTTATAGTGTTAGCTGCATTCATTGAGCTCATGAAGAAAAATGATTAAAAAAAATAATATATATATATATATTAGTGAAATAAAACTAACGTTTGGGCCCATTTAGGTTATAGGTTAAATCTGTCTATTTTTCTCTTTCTTTTTTGATATACATTTATTTTTATTATTAGGTGTTTCAACTCTACGTGTGTTTTGATTTTTCAATTCGTATGAATCTTGATTTTGAAGCGTCTAAATGGGAATGTTGTGATCTGTCCTGCAGTGCTCTCTGGGACATAGAGACCGGTCAGCAGACGACCACGTTTGCGGGTCACACCGGTGACGTGATGAGCCTGTCTCTGGCTCCAGACACCAGGCTGTTCGTGTCAGGGGCCTGTGATGCCTCTGCTAAACTCTGGGACGTCCGTGAGGGCATGTGCAGACAGACCTTCACTGGCCACGAGTCGGACATCAACGCCATCTGTGTGAGTGCTCCTAGCAGTAGATTAGGGCTTGATGCTGTACTCTTAGGAATCGGTGATGTCGTTCATGTGATTTTATACTGATGTGAGCTCACGTCGCCCCTGCAGTTCTTCCCCAATGGCAACGCATTTGCCACCGGTTCTGACGACGCCACCTGCCGCCTGTTTGACCTGCGCGCCGACCAGGAGCTCATGGTCTACTCTCACGACAACATCATCTGTGGCATAACCTCCGTGGCCTTCTCAAAGAGCGGCCGCCTGTTGCTCGCCGGCTACGACGACTTCAACTGCAACGTGTGGGACACCCTCAAGGCCGACCGCGCTGGTGAGATTTGCACACACAAAAAATATCTGCACACGTATGTTAGTAATAGTTATTATCAGTGGCATCTGGTCTAGTGACTGGCCTGAAAGCAAACAAACCACCGTTCACTCTCACAATGGTGTTGTTTTACATATGTACAGTGCTTGCTTGTTTACATGCCACATTGGTTTGTTTCTTTTGCATACGCCAACATGCACCGCACAAGCGGCTGTTGATAAACGGTCCACGTTTTAAAGCCTTGATAATGTTCATATGTAGCATCATCAAATGAGTTGAAATGTACTCGGGTGTTTTAACGCATGCATACAGGCGAGACTTGAATCACCATTTCATACAAATGAGGCGCTTTATCACTGTTGCGAAAACGCTGTCTGGCATCCTCTCCATTATGGTTTACTGACGTTTGGACTTTTTCAGGTGTGCTGGCCGGCCACGACAACCGAGTAAGCTGTCTGGGTGTAACCGATGACGGGATGGCAGTGGCTACAGGGTCTTGGGACAGCTTCCTCAAGATCTGGAACTGAACGTGAAGGTGCTTTCAATACAACATGTCCAATACAGTAAGAATCAGCCTCTTCCAGCACAACCTAACGACAAACAAGAGATACTTTGTGTGTTTTACACGCCATGTAAATGTATCCTTGTTCCACCTGCTATTTTTGGCAATGTGTTAGTGAAGAGCAATATGTAATACACCCACATTTTGTACAATTTTTTTGCCATTTTAATTTGACATAAATGTACAGTTGCTCTAGACAAATAAAAGTTTCTGTTATTTCTAAATGAATGAGTTTAGTTTCTCCATTTCATTTCAGTTAAATTGTATATTTGTAACGCAAGATTATATAAATCTAAAAACTTTAGTTATCTAGAGAGTTCTTTCTAAATAAATTAGTTCAGATTATCAGTTCTCACTTTAATTTTCTCGTTATATAATTGAAACTGTTAAATTTACATTTGCATATTTATATTGTAAGATTATATGAGGTTGTCATAATATGAATATCTGCTTCATCGTTGTCTTTTTTTCTCTTTCTTTTTTCCGCAGATATCATTTGAACTCCAAAGTTGACTGGAAGACCATTCCAACTTTAGAATGTTAAATTTCACAGCATCGTCAACAACAAAACACCTTATAAAACTGACTGACACCACCATGAAAAGAAATAAAACTTCTAAGGGAAAACAATCCCTTTCCTACACCAAGAAGAGCACAATTTGTTTTATCACCCAGCTTAAAAAAAGAAAAAAGAAAAAAAAAATGAAGAAGATTTCCTGTGGTATCAAATGAATAACTTGCATTCCCTCTCGGACCATTCTGTGTCACCCTGTAAGAGAAAACACAAAACACTATCATCCCACGCTTATGTATCATGTGTCTAGAAAGCAAATGTTGGAGTGTAATTGTACAAATTATTTAACTCTTTTTTTTTTTTTTTTTTTTTATTCCTTTTATCTGATAGTTCATCTTCTAGATCTTTTTCCCGCCTGTTTTTTCTGTTTAGATATGTTTCTGATTAGTAAAATCTTTTAATCCTGTTATTATAAAACCATGTGAAAACGACATGAAAGTCATGTAAAATGCTGAAACTAGACCAGGATGGAAGAGCAGCCTTTTTTTTTTTTTTGAAGATGCCAATCATGTGTTTTGTTATTTTCATGTGCACTAGGTTGCTTTACAGGTTGTCTAGTTTTCATGAACGTGACTCGAGCGAGAGGAAAGCTTAATAATCATATTCTTGGGCGGCCCCAGACAGCGTTCACCTCTAATCTGTTCCGATTGTCAACGGTCGCTGGGCTACTGCCGATCACCGGCGAATAAGAGCAGCCCTAGCTTTCCAAAACTGTAATCATGATCTGTGCATTAGTTATCTTTCAGTGTGAATCCTGGTCCTTTTGTCATTAAAGAAAAAAGAAAATGCCATAAAAATGCCATATCTCTCTCTTTTAAATACTTTGCCATTTCTGAGAGTCCGAGGTACTCGCTTCATTTATCTACGAATGGCCGTTGTAAATATGGGTATCCGACTTGCACGCGAATGCAGCATTATATCTTAGCTAATGTTTCTTTCCAGTCTCGTCACAGCTTTGTTTGCACAATAAGAAACTTAACTAACGTTTTAAGCGTTAACTAACCAAGCACATGCCGTTAATCACATTGAATGCTAATTTTAATGTAGAAAATGCACAAAAAAGTACAAAAAAAAACTGAAAAACACAAAAAATACAATCCTCTCTTTCATTGGATTAAAAACCGTTCAAACTAACCCCTTAGCTTATCTTCTGGTCTTAAGTTTATACTTTTTTTTTTTTTTTTTTTTTTTTTTTTACTTTGAGCTTTTGGCTTTAATTCCGATTTTTGGGGTTGTTTTCGTCGGTGGGAGGTCGGGCGGGGAACGTTTAGATTTTTTTCAGTGGTGTCGGGATCAGTGTTTGGGGAAAACAAAACTTTCTTTTTTTTCTTTTAGCCCAGTTCCAGAAAGAGATGACAGATAGCCCTGCGTCTGTGCTTGGAAATACAGTTACTACTATGTGAATGAAATGTTGTACAAATCAATGTCTGAAAATAATGATAATTCTGAAATCTTTAAGTTAAGCGTTTTATTTCATCTGCCATGAATTAACGTAGTCGCATGCTGTAGAATTTGCTTAAACGGGCGCTGACGTCTTTAGGCCCACTTACCTCCACTGGGACGGCGAAACCGATACGAAGCAGAAATTTTGACCATTGACACAAATGTTTTAGACATGCTGTGCATACATCCTTTACTTTCACTGGCAAAGCTATGCACCTATGTGAGAAATCACCACATGTATTTCCTGCAGACGACCTGTAAATCATGGCCATGCTTCCTGAAGTTATTCCAAATTAAACGACAGTTACGAAATGTCCCGTTTGAGACGCTCAAAACCTTCAGTGAGTTTTTCAGATATTTCGACATCGAAACGTTCGATAGAAACTCTTTTGGCTTTTCTTTAAACGTTTTGAAATGGCATCTGACATGGCAGAGTCTTCTGTTCTTTTTCCACTGTAAACAGATGCACTTTCTTTAATAGTTGTGACTTTTTTTATTGTTTTTTTTTTTTCCTTTCTCTGCGATAATGTACAATAATTGTGATGTATTTGTGTGTGCTGCCACCAGTAAAGATTAATTGCAGTTCAATTAAAATGGATTCCCCTTATTTTCTCTCTTCATTAATAACTGTAGATCTCCCTATCTCACCTTTTGTATTTAATTTCAGTCTGTCGGTGTACCACAGAAAGCTGGATGCAACATAGATACTATATTACAATGTACTGTTATTTAAGATGTAATAAAACAAGTCTGAGATGTCTCTGATGTGCTGATGTTTTGCTAGAGAGTAACCGTAATTCAAGAGCTTTTCTACTGGGTTAGCAGTTCCTCGTTCTTCAGACATCCTGGTGTAAATGATATTTGTTTCCAGTCTAATGGATGCATGCTTGTACTAGAAATTAGTTTAGGTACGTGTTTTAACAACTTTTTATCAGTGTTTTGATTTCTCACAGGAAATCCTATCATCTTAAAAGTTCTAGCCACGTTTCGCTCTGAAATAGCCTACTATAGTTCTTAAATAGTTCATTTTATTCAGTGCAATTTCTATAAAATTACTTGTATCCATTTATTTAAAATCTTTATCTGGTGCCATGAATATTTATTGGTCTTACTGTGGGAACCTTGGCTTTTGGTCAAGAACAGCAAAGAAAATGTGTACTATTTAGCCAAAAAATAAAGTAAATTATTAAGTGAACATAAAACCATTATCATGGCTGTATAAACAAAAGTTGTTCCAATGTAAACATCAGTGTTGTGTCCAACCAGAGTATCTTTTCTGTACTTATTTGAAATGCTTTGAGTCTCCTTTTTTGGTAGCCTACTTAACCCAGATGTCATACTGTCCAATAACTGTCTGCAAGTGCATTCGAGTTCTTAGGAATACCGTTTCCAAATAAAACAGCTGTTGTGGAGGCTGATCATCTCAGCAGGAAAAATGGAGATGGATTGTCTTAAATACTGCGCTATTATAAACCCTTGTAATCAGAGTTTGAGTCTTGATGGTGATATTGCACTTGAGACCACATAACAATCAGCCTTGGCTTTTTTCATAAAGGGATAGTTCAACCAAAAATGAAAATGCAGTCAACATTTACTCCTTTCAACTGTGGAACACAAAAAAGAGATAGTTTGAAGAACATTTGGGCACTTATATTTCTCCTTTTATGTTCCTCTGTAGAAAGTCAGACAGGTTTGGAATGACATAAGTGAGTAAACGATGACCAAAATGCAGATTTTTAAGGGACCTGGTATTGCTCTCAAAGTAATCAATAAATTCATAATGGGCTTATTAACATATGTACAAGATTTCAACAAACTACTTAGTGTTATTTCTTAATAGTCTAGTTTTTGACAGCACTTGGCCTTCTCTTCGGGAAAAGCAGATGATGTATTGTAGTTACATCTGCTCATTATTATGCAAATAATCTAACCAGCCAATCGTGTGTCTGCAACTCGGTCATGGTCAAAGGTTCAGGTATTTTTGAAACCGAACATCATGAATGGGTTATTGTATAATTGTAGCATGATGCTATATCAACACGAGCCTTAGTTACCTGTCTCTCAATGGTGCATTTTTATTTCTAGTGCTCTTATTATTGAACAGAAGGCAGCATACCAACCAGATAAACATTTCTGGTGGTCGAGAATGTTTAGATGAGTTCAGATCATTCCGATATGAACTGAAACGCGTGCCTCTTCAGTCAGATATCTGTTTTCTCTTTCTTCTGTTTTGTTTTCTCCAAAGGAAGTGATTTTAGTCCAATTATACCTTATCTTACAGATCGATTCCTGTTTCTTATGAAAAGAAGGCCGAACCATGTGTCTATGCCTCAGTTTAGCAATTACTTCCCTTGGAAACAAACGAGTTAACAGGGACACGTTACGATAAAGGTTTCAAGCTGTAGTATTCTGTATGGTTGTCGAACAGAGAGATTCAGACGAGTAAATGACAACTGAGGGGAAAAAAATGCTAATAGTGTACAGATTTTTTAAAATAAAAATGTAGGCCTACACCGTAAAAACAATATGATCAATAAGATATGACAACATGTTTTTACATTGCGTTAACTCATCAAACTAAGTTGAGATGCTGAAATGACTTTTGATTGCACTTAAAAATGTTAGGCAGCTATATTTTTTTTTTATACACAGTATACTCCAGTAAGTAGTATACCAGTTTTTCAGCTCTGCTAAGGTCAGTATCTGGTTAAAAATGTTGTTTTTAGTTACTTAGTAAAACAAGACCAATAATTAAGCTTTTTGACTTTATTGAAACGGATTTCATAAATGACCTTCTTGCACATAGTGCTTTACAAAGAGATTTTTACAAGCAGTTTTCCAAATAGAAATGAAACAAACAATGAAGAGAATATAAAAATAATATAGCAATAAGTTAAAAGAATAAGACATTGAAAACGTGGTAACGTACATAAGTATAGTGGTAAAACTTCTTTAGGATGCCTTCATGAAAGCACTGAGGTGGCTCTGATAATACTAGTGCAACAGGAAAATAAATACAAAATGTTGTTTACAAATCAACAATGAAATCATTTCTTCAAATGTGCCTATGATATATATATAATGTATGCTAAAAGACTGATTAACCTTTTTATGTTGCTATTTAGAAGAAGTCAGTGAAAAATCAAGTATAAATAAAGTATAAATCACACGCTCTTCCCGTCTTCAATCATATTGACTACAGTTACAGCGAGCCAACAAATGTTCCACCAAAATTCCTCTCAAATGGACTTTGAATGTTTCTTTGAAGTTTGAAAATTCTCATTTTTGGAACTTATATAATCTAATGATACAATTAAGAATTTCTGATATGCTGATAAATGTTTCAAATACTGCAATCCGCAGAAAAAACAACTGCTTCCCAGGAATCTTGACTAAAACTGCAACTTTTTGGCTCAAATGTTTATCTTTCCTAGCTTAGGAGTCAGTGTTCATAAAAGTGAAATTTAGATTGGGTAAAAAGTTTAGATTTAGATTCAGTAAAAAAAGACACCATAGATTGGGGAATTTAGTCTTGGTAGAATATGATGGGAAACGTTTGAGCTAATTAAGATTTCTGACGTTTGATTGCAGATTAAATTAAGATCAGTAGATTTCTAGTAGAGGCATGTGAGATGTCTATCTATCTGATAAAGAAGGAGATTCAAAGTCTTAATTTAATCTCATTTGGGGATAAAATGAAGATACTGAAGAAAAATCATTTGTGACTTTTCTTCCTGTGGGGAAAAATGATTTCTGTGCCTTACATGATGTCCTCTTGTAACAATGAAAAGTACTTAACTATCAAATATCTTCTCAAACAGACTATACCTAGTTTGGTTCCTTGCCACTGTTGCCTTGGCTTTTGGCTTGCTTAGTTGGGGACATTTAATATTCAACAATATTATTGATCTGCCTTACTTCAGGTGGACGATGACGCAATTTTCTTCTAGAAACAAACTTTGTTGTATTATTTTCATGTTATCACTGTGAAGCTGCTTTGATACAATCTGCATTGTAAAAAGCGCTATATAAATAACGGTGACTTGACTTGACCGACTTTACTGGTTTGTGATGAAACTGAATATACAAATAAAAGTTCTTCACTGCCATTAAGATGTAGAGACCGCAGTCTTCCATTACTGTGTAAGTACTGTTTTTCTGTATTGTTCATTTATTATATTTATCTGGGGTTCGCTGTTTTATTTCCATGTTTTAGCAGAGTGAGCGCGGTCATTTTTAATGCCCATCTTTAAGGTCCTTTTAGCCATTTATGGAACTGTGTGTACAGATGTGTTTTATCTGTCTCATTTATTTGTGTTCAATCTCACTTGTGTTCTTATAGGGATAGTTGAAATGTATGAATTTCTTTCTTCTGCTGAACACAAAGGAAGATAATTTAAAGAATGTTGGTACCCAAACATTGACTTCCATACTAGTATGAGGAAGAAAATACTATGGAAGTCAATGGGGCCATCAACTGTCTGGTTACCGACACTCTTCACCTGTTCAGCAGAGGAAAGACATCCATACAGGTTTGGAACAACATGAGGGTGAGTAAATGACTTAATACATTTTTTTGGGTGGACTATCCCTTTAATCATATTTTTATGTATTTATTCAAATATATGGTGAAGGGTTAATTAAATTGAAAATGGTATGTTCCAATTAAGGCTGCTGTCACTAGTAGAAGGGAGAGCTAATGGACAGATTGAGTTTAGTGAGAGATGAACAAGGTTTTTGTTAGCGCTGCTTGAGTGAGGTAAAACTCCAGCCTACATTTTTTTATGAAGGGGAGTTGGTGCTGTTTTTAGTACGTAGCGGTTCTGTTGTTTTCATCATGCTCTTAACACCTGGGTTTTTTACTGCTTCAGTGTTTGATCCTGGTGTGATTGCAACCGCTCTGTTTGCTATCACAGGCATCTGTGGTTCCATGAAGAACCTTTAACACCCATGGAACCTTTCCATTGGACAAAGGGTTATTAAGAGTAGAATTGATTCTTTAGATTATTAAAATGTTCTTTACACAGGTTCTTTGAAGACCAAAATGGCACTGCTATGAAAACCCCCTTCTGTGACCTTTATTTTTAAGAGCGTGCCTGGATGAGTCGAACAAGAACATGCATTCCTTGAATTTGATGTAAGATGCTTGGGATAAAAGCATCTGCCAAATGCATAAACAGTCCAAAAAAAAAAAAGACCCATGTTTGAGGTTGTGTGAGATTCACCTAGACTTATCTAATGCCCAACATCTGTAAACATTTTAGTCTCACAGTTGAGAAGTGAAAGGGAAAAAAAGAAATGCATTGAATTTGCTTATTCATGACAACAATAGAGACATCTATTCTTCACACTCCGATTTCTTCCTCTGTTCTTTACTACTGCAAATCATTTTAGACTTTCCTTTGTCAGTCATCTGCTGCTTTTTTGCAGAGTCAGAAAGTTTGCATTGCTTTTCAGGCACGCAGCCATCGGGCTTCTTTTTGCTTATGACCTGACAGGAGTTGTCTGAGGAACATGGCAGACAGTCTTGGCGTACGGGAGTGAACCTTTGGCATCTTGTCTTCTGACAGGTTTCGGATTGGGTCCGGCGTTGAAGAGACGAGAAATCACCGTGATTGATGGAATTTTTCTTTATTTGAACTGAAGCTTTATGGACTTGCTTGCGGAAGTTCTTTCCCGCGAAGAAGTACAACATGGGATTGAAGCAACTGTTGGATGCCGCCATGCACAGCGAGAGCACCAGAACTTTCAGGAGGTACTTTCTGACCTGGCAGTCCTGGCCTGAAACAACGGCATGCAGATGGACCGTGCGAATGACGTGATATGGTAGGAAACACAGCAGGAACGTGCTCAGGACAACCACGATCAAACACACCGTGCGTCGGCAGCTGATCTGCTTTTGTTTCCTGATGTTTTTCTGCCCAAAGATGAGTTTGTGGAAGATGCAGCTGTAGCAGATTAGTATTGTAATAAACGGAATGACAAATCCTAACGAAACCCCCACATAGTTCAAGATAAATATGCGCTTCCATGACATGATGTTCCTGGGTTCAAAGCAGATAATCTTACCATCCCGTTCTAAAGTACCTGACATGAGGAACGGCGTTGACAAGAAGGCCACAAATATCCAGATCGCAAAGCATGATAGACTGGCTCGCCACACCGTGGCCTGTTTCCTGTGGCGCATGGGGTGAAGCACGGCGAGGTACCGTAGTACACTAAGGCCAGTAAGGAACAATACGCTTGTATACAGGTTCACGTAAAAGGAAAATACACACCAGCGGCAAAACCAGTCTGGGAAGTCCCAATGACTGCCCCTAAAGTAGTAGACCAGGCGGAAGGGCAAAGTCAAGGAGAAGCTAGCATCTGAAATGGCCAAGTTAGTCATAAAAACCGTACTGGCAGTCTTCTTAGGGGTGAAGCGCAGGAACACAACCAAAGCCAGTACGTTGCTGATGAATCCAATAGGGAACACAACACTGTACGTGATAGTGTATGCCATAAATTTGAAGTATTCGCTGTCCCTAAGTGTCTGGTTGAGGCATGCATGTTCTTGGCTGGCGTTGGGCTGGAACGGAGTTTCTGATGTAAACGTGGGATCTGGAGACAAAAAGAGAATAAGTTAGATATAAAACAATTGTGTTGCGAGCAGAATAAGTGCAGTCACGATAGGCTTTAAGTATGCAAAATTATACTTGCTTCTGTTTTTACTAGTTAAAAGAACAAATAATAATGATAATAATAAATTGTTAAAATCTACATCAACAAACTCTGTCGAGCAAAGAGGTCAATCTGTACCGGTCAAGCATCTTTTGGCTATGCAAATTTGCAGGTCACTCAACTTCAGCTGTTGCAGCAAATTTTAAGAAAAACTCTTAGCATGTGTTTTTGATTTTACTCTGAATGGATGTGAGTCTAGTGACTAAGACTAAGCATGCTGATAATATGATAAAGAAATGACATAAGAAAGTAATTAATGCTAAAATGAAGGCATTGCTCAACAATAGCTTACTAAACCAGGAAATAGTGTTTTTATTTAAAACACAGGTTTAAAAACTCCCCTCGATTTTCCAGGTTAAAAATTGATATTGCCATGGAGGTTTGATATACAGACAGCAGGGTTGTGTTTCTTAAACTGCTAAGTATAATATACTTTACTTTATCTAAAACTATTTTAAACAAAACTTTTCTAGACTTGTATAATTTTTATGCATGCAGTTTTATATTTAATAGTTTATTTTAATATTTTATTTAAAACAATTATATTTGAATGCATTTGAATGAATAAATAAAATAATTGAATGTAATGTTATTTGTCATGTCCTTATTATTTTTCACCCAAATATCGTTATTTTATCAAGAAGTCTGTTGTTTCCAGTACTCCCATCCATAGTTCATATGCAAAACATATGCAAAAGAATATTCAGTGGGTGAAATGAAAACTGTTGCACACTAACAATATTCAAATGACAGATTTCATAGACCTGCAAAACAAAACATGAACCGTTTTTCTGCATAAAGAAAGGCACTGTTAATTATTAATTTGCTTATTAATCCAATGTTCTGGAAGTAAATAAACAAGTCTGGTTCTATTGTCAAAGTAAATGGACTAATACACTAAAGCTGTTTAAACTGGAATAACTCATAGAACAAGTTTGCCCACAAGTCTTATAAAAAGTACCAAAGGTATTATCATATTTTATCATGGTAATTCCTTACAAAAAAAGGTAATGTGAAGAGGATACCATGGTACAGAGATGATACGATACTTTAGTATATACATGGTACGTAAATAGTAGGGCTGGGTAAAAAAATATCAATTTCTCGATATTAATTGATTCTCATTTTTACGAACCGATGTCGATTCTTAAATCTCAAGATGAATGAATGGAACATTGTAGCGCGCATCCTATCCAATAAATCGCAATAATCTGTGTGCTTTGTTACTATTTATACTAAATAAAGTCTCACATTTCAAATTACGTCCATTTTCTTACGAAATTCAAAAACATAAATACCGTTTTGGCGCTGTTGCGTGAGATCGCTCGGGCGCAGCTCAGCTCAAGAGAAGCTCCTCTTCTGCCTTAATAATACCAGTTACAGCGCGAAATAAACATGAATGAGCATCTGAAAGTGTTAAAAGATAGAGTAGGCCTACAACTTATCGAAATCCGTATCATGTCACATGGAATCGCTCAATCAGTGTTTCAACTGTGGAAAGGTTAGTAAAAAAAGCTTAAACAATGTCATGTAACGTCACATTTACCTCAGAAAAACCATATCCAGCAGTGAACATACACTCGTTAGTCAGCTAGAAAAATGTACTCTAAAGAGGAGCATTTTGCTAAATATGCACCATATTACATATTCATTATAATTTTTAATGTTCTTCAATATTTAATGCATGTTTGAATAAATCTGGCAAGTTTTTATGACAGCCACCATTTAAATGTTTATATTTCATATAACTTTCTTATTATAAAAATAAATAAAAGTGTATTTTAAGTGTTTGTATAACTACAAATCAGTTAATTTTTACCTTCACTATTATAGTAGGCTAATAAGCCTAGTAGGCTATAACTGACTCCCATTTGAGATTTGTTTTCCTTGAGAAAATGTGCCATGCAGCCTACCTGATATCCAAAATAATCAATATTGAATCGAATCGGAATCGAATCGAATTGGAAGCTTGTGAATCGAAATCGAATCAAATTGTGAAATTTGTGTCAATACCCAGCCCTAGTAAATAGTATTTAATAGGCTACTTGAAGGTAGTTCCAAGACTATGGTACTACCATAGTGCAAGTCATATCGACATATTCTTGGAGTGCCAAATATAGGTACCATTATATACAATTTCAAAAAGGTTTATTTGTACCTTTTTGAAATTGTATAATGGTAGCTTTTTGACATGGCACTCCAAGAATATGTCGAAAAACTGTATTTTGGACTATGGACTTTGGACTACCAATATTATGATATTCTATCCTGTAAATAAATAGCCCACCATTATAAATTAATTTCAGATCTAGCTATATAGAATACATCCACTGACATTAAAATGTAAAACTCAATATGACTCGTATGAGGCTGTGACTGGAGTTTCACTCACCTGTCATTCTCTTTTGACCAGCATGCTCCTCATCATCAGCGGACTGATGAATCCGAGTGAGTCAAGATTTTTGTATTGAGAGCGCTATGCAACAAAATGTCAATATGCTTCCCTCTCGGCAGTTTCAAGTGTCTGCTTCCTTTAAAAAGTGCATGAAGAATGCTGTCTCTGTACTCCGGTGTCCAACCCGTAATTCCAGTGAAGCGTACTATCAGTCGTAAGTTAACGCACGAAGTACACCAGACTATCCAATAGTTGTCGCCTTGGCAAAATAATCGCTTGTTTTCAATTATTCATACGAGCCGATTCGCACAGCGTATTCGACTGCAGAGATGTGAAACAAACTACACAGCATTCGACGCGATATGGATATAACCTAATCGAAATCATAGTGGTATACAGCATAATTTCTGTAACACTAAGATGAACGTAAACTTTGACTTCGGGGGAAGCTTTTGAATAAAGATTCGAAATGTTTTCTTAGTGAGTTCAAACGAATCGATTCGTTAAATTGAATCAGACTTCAGAAACTTCCTAAATATTTCCAGTGAAACCACACCTCACACTTCAGGTGTTTTTTCTTCTTTGGCAGTTTCTTTGAGCAGATGTGGTTTGCGTAGGTTACGGAGCCCCTAAAGGGACGTGGTGGTGGGAAATTTTTTAGGATGGGAGATATATATATATTTTTTTCAAATCTTTTGCGTTCCCTCGCAAAACTTTTGCGTTCCCCCGCAAAAGTTTTGCGTTCCCACGCAAAAGTTTTGCGTTCTCTCGCAAAGATTAGCGTTCCCACGCAAAACCTGTTGACAGCTCGGACAGACACTTCCTGTTTAATGTCCCGCTGTCAGTGTTTCAGAGCTCCGTACGTTAATGGAGCGTTTCATAGTGTTTGAACTTGGACTCAAATATAAAGAAATGCGGTCAGTGCTTAACTCAAGGTGTTCAGTGAAGTTGCTGGCAACATGCTATTCGAACTTCCCGGATCAATATTCTTGAGCTAAACGTTGTTAAAACACAAACGACACCTATTTACAATCACAGAAACCTAGGCAACGAGCTACAACCCAATTCTCCTCAAAACACGCAGGCGGCTGAGTCCGAAGGGACCATCTGCAAAGTGCAATATAACCCAAAAAACGACTACAGCATCAACTCATAGTCAAAAATATATAAAAAAAATAGTCATTAACTTCAATGTTACAAACCACCCAATTCAGTTTACACATCAATGGTAAACTCACTGGTCATACTGCAGTGCTTCTGCACATTTTATATTATATATAAAAAATTTTTTTAATAACTTCACTGTAACACACAAAAATTTAGTTCACACATCACTGCTCTAATGTTGGTTATACAACACTTAGTTTGGGAAGTAATCGCACATAAAAAAATAAGTAGGGCTATTCTTTACACAAATTATTGGTAGGGGAGAGCCGGGACGATTGAAACGCGGGACGGATGAAACAGAACGATTTCCTCGAAAACAACTCACGTCATTTACGTCAAATTTCGTCAACACGTACAGCACGCAATGCCTTCTTTACGTCATGCCGTTTTAAAGTTAGAGCCGGAAAGCTGTTTTTGAGTGCGGTTAGTGAATTCCTTCGTGCAGCACTTTTTTTTTACTGACAAGTTGTATTTATGTTTTCATGTGCCATTGTAATAATAATATGGAAGGTGTATTAGTACTGCAACACATCCTTAAGTGTGTAATATCAGAGTTTTTTAGTTTAAGTGTAAAACGGGTTTAACTGGCAGGAGGCGCCTCTTACATAGGAAAACCTATATATATATATTATTCGTTTTTTAACCTATAGGCTACTCTTCATATTTGTTTATTCAGCCTATAGCCTACTGTTAATAAATTCATATAGGCTACTGGTCCATGTTATCTCTTTAATAATAATTGTCCCATTTTCAATAAATTTCATTTATCATATACCGGTTGACCTTGTTTTCTTCATAATAACAGGCTATTCAACTAGCAAACACTCAATATGATTTAAGGAAGAAATGTAAGAATATGAATTGTAAACGGATTCGTCAAAATAGCATATTAGAAAGAGCACGCAAAATGCGCACGGCTTATCGCCTATTGTTTATTGGGCGACAGAATAAAATGGTTAATATGAACCTTTAAATTAAAATAAATAACAAAACATGTTTGTAACAATTATGTACATAATTAACTTGTTAGGTATTGTTCATAAAAACAAACATTAGATGAACAGTTGCTGTTTAAACTGTAATGTTTCATCTTTCCCACCCCTGTGTTTGAAACAAAGCACAACTCCCGTTCAAAGTCAATTTTTACTTAAATCATTCTATATTTGTACTGAATAACACATGATACTAAGAGAACACTATGTGAGTTGTTGATTACAAAAACAAAAAAAATCTATTTGTAATCTTATCTTAGAAAATGACGTTTATCCGAAAAGTGCTTCAACCGTCCCGGCTCTCCCCTACTGTACGCAGCTAACATAATAGTTACAACTATAGCTTTTGCATTATATTTGCTTACTGAATTTGATGGCATTACACTGTATAACAGTGTGAAGTTACTGATAATTTTTTCTAAAAAGGGTAAAGTTATTGGAACTGAATTTGGTGACAGTAGCGTACATTGTATCACAGTGAAGCTATTGAATATGTTAAATAATATAAAATGTGCAGAAGGTTTTTGGGATTTGCACTTTGCAGACGGTCCCTAATTCGGACTTGTCTCACAATCGGCCGGTTAAAGACATTTATATTATAAAGCTCTTTTGAGGAGAATTGGGTTGTAGCTCGTTGTCTAGGTTACTGTGATTGTAAATAGGTGTCGTCTGTGTTTTAACAACGTTTAGCTCAAGAATATTGATCCGGGAAGTTCGAATAGCATCAATCAATCAATCAACCTTTATTTGTCAAGCACATTTAAAAACAACACAAGTTGGCCAAAGTGCTGTACAGATCTAAAAATTACTCAAACACTCAGACAGTACTCACACAAAACACTGGGTTAATATCCGACCCTGATCAGTAACCAGAAGCCTCGGGGCCATTGTAGGCCACAGCGTATAGGTGTGTTTTCAGCATAGATTTAAAACATTCTAGCGAGTCACAGGATCGGATATGCAAAGGAAGACTGTTCCAAAGACGCGGGGCTGCCACAGAAAATGCACGATCTCCCTTGGTTTTTAACCTTGATTTCGGAACATGTAGGGACAAGCTCTGGGATGATCTAAGTGGTCGAGAAGAAAAGTGATGCTGTCTGTGTATCAGACGTGCCACATATTCCGGAGCCAGTCCATGCAGACCTTTGAAAACCATGGACAGAACTTTATATTGGATTCTAAATTCGACTGGAAGCCAGTGCAAAGAGGCCAATACCGGAGAAATCCTAGACCATTTGTGTGTGCCAGTCAATAATCTGGCTGCTGCATTTTGCACCAGTTGCAGCCTTGATAACAATTTCCTAGACAGTCCCAAATATAACGAGTTGCAGTAATCCAATCTGGATGAGATAAAAGCATGAATGACAATTTCCATGTCCTTAAATGACAAAATACTCTTTAATTTGGCAATGCTCCTTAGCTGATAAAAGCTACTTTTAACCACAGCATTAACTTGTTTGTCAAATTTCAGTTCTGAATCAAAAATTACACCAAGGTTCCTTGCTTGGGTATTCACCTTAATGGCTAAGGGATCAAGATGTAAAGTAACCTGTTAAGCTAACTTAGGTGGACCAAATATAAGCACTTCCGATTTTGACTCATTGAGCAGCATGTGAATATATTGCCAGCAAATTCACTGAACACCTTGAGTTAAGCACTGACCGCATTTCTTTATATTTGAGTCCAAGTTCAAACACTATGAAACCCTCCATTAACGTACGGAGCTCTGAAACACAGCCAGCGGGGCATTAAACAGGAAGTGTCTGTCCGAGCTGTCAACAGGTTTTGCGTGGGAACGCAAATATGTTTGCGAGGGAACGCAAAAGTTTTGCGAGGGAACGCAAAGTTTCTTGGGGGAACGCAAAAGATTTGAAAAAAAAAAAATTATCCCATCCTAAAAAAATTTCCACCACCACGTCCCTTTAGGGGCTCCGTAGTACGTAGCATAATTGCCCAATTCCCTTTACATGACCAAATATAGGACATTTAAATAATTTTTTTATCATGTGGCTATAAGAAAATAATTGTATTATCTTAAAGCACATTCTTAATAATATTCTTAATAAATCTAAATATATTCGTAATAAAACATATTGTTGTTAGGCTTGTTATGCAAAAAGAACCATAAAACAACTTCTAGGTTTTCAGTTAGTCAAAGTCACAGAACGTTAGAGGATGTCCAAAAATATTGTATTTCAATAATTTTGTTATCATAAATATGTGTAAAAACTAACAGCAAAACCGAGAAGAAAAAATTCTACATAGTATAAATAATAATTTATATACTTCTAGTTTTTCAGTTAGTCAAATAGCTTATCTTCTGATCAAACGTCATAGATGGACATTAGAGGAGTAGCCTATGTCCAAAAATATGGTATTTAAACAATCTTGATAATAAACAACCACCATCATAGCATAGGCCTACATCACAACAAAAACGAGAAGAATAGCCTATAGCCTATATTATATAATAAATGATGTACTTCTAGGTTCTCAGTTAGTCAAATAGTTTGTTATCCTTTGATCAAATGTCATAGATGGACATTAGAGGAGGAGCGATCTGCCAAACGGCTGAAAGAAACTATATTTCCCATCATGCAACAGCAAGAACAATACGTCACCTTCCCATCTAAATGCATTCTGGGAAGGAGAAGCTTGTAGACCATTTTAGCTGCGGATGACATCGAATGATCTGACCAAGAGTGTGATCTTTTGGAGAGAGGTGATCTGTTGGCAGTCATTGCACTTCTCAATATTTGAGAAATATTTTACTTCAGTGTTTCGTTGAAATATATTTGGTAAGTTTTCGTTGTTTCGTGGCGTTCTTTGCGCCTTTTTCAACGACAACACGACGACACAGTCTCCATTTTGATGTGCCTTCCTGTTAGCTTACTAAACTTATCACATAACGAAAATTAATACCACACGAACAAAAACTACTACCACTGGCTTTTTAGCCATGTACCATTGAAATAGCATGTTTTTCCGACATATATTGGTAATTATATTGTTTAACGGGCATGTAACGTTACTATGGTATTCTTTTAAGTACG